CCACTGAAATCCACTGCTGAGGGGGGCAGCCGGAGACAGGAGAGGTCTGCTGCCCCTCATCTCCCTGCCCTGGAGGGAACTCAGGCCCCAGTGGTGACAGTGCTAAGACTTAACCTCTAGGCCACCAGGAGGGCCCTTATTCCTTGAATTTTTTTTTGTGAATTAATAAAAAGATAAATTCCAAATCAAATCAAGATTTATTCATTTACTTCACAACCTTCTGAATCTTTCGATTTTTTTGTGAAGAGAAAGATGATGAATTTATAGTGAGACAAAATAGAGGGAATGACCTAGTCTGTCCTGTAGGTAAGGGGCTTCCGCTTCGCAAATACAGTGATGGTCACAGTGGTCCCTCCTGAGGCTCATATGGAATCAGTCAACTCCTCTACATTAATTGAGTCACTAAAGCATTGTTAAACTTGTATTTAAAATTTGAGTCAACAAAATACTGTCTGGAAAAGCCATGATAAAAGTCAACTTCTATACTGAACACAGTAGCTATTTTCTTTTCTTCAGTCACAGAGTTAGGCAGAAATCTGCTTTGGCTAAGACTACAAACAAAAATAATGATTAATATAGATACCCAAATGATTCTACTGAAGACATTATAAGCAAAATTAAGGATTATGTTACAAACATAATTTTAATATTATGGTTTGTCCAGTTGCTCACAAACCAATTTTAATATTGACTATTGACACGTTTCAAATTTGAGAATCTAATCATTGTCTTATCAATCCTGACAATTATGTAAAAACTGCGCTAATAAAGCTCCATGTTGATGTTGATGTCACATTCCAATGACCTCATTCAACCAGTGCTTATCTCCATTCACTTTGAAGTCAATCTTGAGTTAGAAGTCTTGGTCATTTGTACCTCCATAGACAGAGTGTTACTTGAGTGGATTTACAAGTTATTCTTCACTTTATTCTTCCCCTGAAATGTTTTGATCCTAGAAAGTTGTCCCCAGTGACCTTTATTCAATCATATGTCATTTTCTAGTTCATTAACTGTCCATTAATGTTTACTCTGATAATGAGGGACAGCATGGTCAAATTAATCAGCCTCATATCTATTAATCTCATTTTCATACTCATTATTTCTTAAACTTTTCTCCCGTGACATGTATTCTCTATTCTCTTAATCATTGTTTTCTATCCTCAAAGTGTTAGTTTTATTTCCACTTGACTGGGATCTACAAATTGGATATGGTTTTTTTCTAGTTTTTCTGAATATATTTAGGAACAAAGCTGGATTTTTTTTGCTGAATGTAGGTGACTTCTTTGATCCAGATAATTAATTATGTCACATTTTACCATTAGGCATAAAATTAAAATCTTGATTCATACACTTAACATATATCTAACAATGATATTCTGCTCCCAGCATTATGAAACTATAGAAAAAATTATTCTTTGCCGTCAATGAACTCAAACATTGAAAGATGAATTTTAATATGTATATATTTGTGATTACTAGATTAAATGGTTATGTTTGTCTTTATGATTAAAATGACAATGAGTAGTAGCTTACTATTGAAATACACTTATCCAATAGGTTAATACACTGGCCAATTAGTCTCATCTTTTATTCTATACGTATATTTCAAATTTAAAAATATTCATGCTATTACTCAGAATCAGTGACTTATTTTTCCTTGCATTTAATTAATAGTTAAACATGTGTTGGCTGAAATAAAAAGTGTTAATGATCATTAGATAATCAAAGAGAGGATATGGTCCCAGGAGCAGAAGGACAGATGTATCCACGAGAGCTGTTGCCACAATCACAAGTTAAGGTGGGTTTATGGGCCTTGTGCCAGAGCCGCATGTAATGTATGCAGCAAAACGGTGAGTCCTGAGGTCAGAATTGTAATTATCCCGAAAGGGGGGTTCGGCTTCTCCCCTGGGGGTTTAGACCTTTGTGTTTCCTAAGTCATCCTGACCCACAGAGATGCGGCTGCGCGCTGTGTGCAGACGCGGCCAGTGGCTGGGGTGTCGTGCATGCTGACCCCTGGGGACGGCGTCGTGGAGACTCGGGAGCCGTGGTCCTGACGGTCTTCCATCCGCTTCGTGTCAGCCGGGTGCGCCAGGGCGGCCCTGGCAGCCCAGATCCTGCGCGGGATGGCGGAGGCTGTCCTCACAGTCCGCGACCCCCTCACTTCACCCCAGGTCTGCTGCTAGGGGAGGAGGCCCGATGCACTCACTTGTTTCAAGCATTTCTCAAGTAAAAGCTTCCTTTGTCTTCATGAAGTCTCTCTCTTCTCATGTGATAAATTGACATGTGTAATTGATGCAAAAAATTGTGATATTTTGAGACCATTAAAAATAAAATGAGGGCCTCCCCGGTGGCGCAGCGGTTGAGCGCTGGATTGAGAAGCTGCCCGCAGCCTCTGGGGCGCTGGTTCGATTCCCGGCTGCTCCCCGTCCACCGGAGGAGGGTCCTGCATGACGCGCAGACCTCTCCTGCCGCCTGCTGCTCCCCTCAGCAGTGTACTTCGGTCCTTCTGCCTGCTCTGCTCCCCGCTCTGGCTCTGGTGAATTCTCTCACCCTCCCGCGCTTCTGACTGTGCCCAGTGCATGTATAAACAAACGAACAAAGAAAGAAAGAAAGAAATAAAACATGCCTCAAAAAAAAAAATAAATAAAATGAGTGAAATTTCTTGAATCGTTATGCTTAACGAGAGGCCAACAATAGCTTCTCACTCCAGTAGTAGCCGCTCACACCCAACAGCTTCTTTTTTTTATAATAAATTTTATTTTTATATTCCCCATACAATTGCAACCTCCTTATTTTGACCCCAGTCCCTCCCCTCCTCACACCCCACCCCATATAGAGTGTCTCTGGTTCATAGTTGCTTGCTGATTTTGATTTTCACTTTCTTATAGTTATTCATTTTCCTGGTCCCTTATTTAAGTTTTCTAGATTCCTGCTATGAGTGAGACCATCCGGTATTTTCCTTTTTCTTTCTGGCTTATTTCGCTGAGCATGATCCCTTCCAGCTCCACCCATGTTGCTGCAAATTGTATGTGTTTATCTTTTTTGATTTCTGAGTAATATTCCATGGTGTATATGTACCACATCTTCTTGATCCAGTCATCTATTTTTGGGCATTTGGGTTGTTTCCAAAGCTTAGCTATTGTAAACAGTGTTGCTATAAACATAGGGGTGCAGGTGCTCTTTGGAATTGATGTTTCTGTGTCCTTTGGGTAAATACCTAGGAATGGAATTGCTGGATCACATGGAAGCTCTATGTTTAGTAGGTCAAGAAATCTCCACACAGTTCTCCAAAGTGGTTGGACCAGTTTGCACTCCCACCAACAGTGCAGAAGAGTTCCTTTTTCTCCACATCCTCGCCAACATTTGTTGTTGCTAGTTTTTTTAATATGTGCCATTCTCACTGGTGTAAGGTGGTATCTCATTGTGGTTTTGATTTGCATTTCCCTGATTACAAGTGATGTTGAACATTTTTTCATATGCGTTTTGGCCATTTGCATTTCCTCTTCAGAGAAGTTTCTTTTTAGCTCTTCTGCCCATTTTTGGACTGGATTATTTTCTTTGCTGTTGTTGAGTCTCATCAGCTCTTTGCAGTTTTTTGTGATCAGTCCTTTATCATTAGTGTTGTGTGCAAAAATATTCTCCCAGTTGGTGGGGTTTATCTTTGTTTTTGTTATTGTCTCCTTTGCTGTGCAGAAACTCTTTATTTTGATGTAGTCCCAGCTATTTATCTTTGCCTTCACTATCACTGCTTTGGGTGATGTGTCTGTAAAGATGTCTTTGATGTGCCCATCATGTAGTGTTGCGCCTATATTTCCTTCTATGTATTTTATGGTTTCAGGTCTTATGTCTAGTCCTTTAATCCATTTTGAGTTGGTTTTTGTGTATGGTGTGAGGTAGTAGTCAAGCTTCATTCTTTTGCATGTAGCGACCCAGTTTTCCCAGCACCATTTATTGAACAAACTTTCTTTGCTCCAATGCATATTCTTTGCTCCTTTGTCAAAGATTAGTTGACCATAAATCTGTGTCACACCCAATAGCTTCTACACCGTACACAGGCAGAAGGGAATTCACCAGGTGCTGTTATAGAAGTAAGCTCACTCACAGACGTAGTCTTGCCTATTTATTGCTGACTACAGAAGGCTGACAGAGTTTGCATGGAAGACAAATGCTCAAGAACTATTTTTTTAAAAGGAGAAAATTGCTGGAAAAACAGTGAAATTTGCATACAATATATGTAGAAATAAGTTTGTATTTCTTAAAATATCTTCATAGAATTATGAAGCTGTAGACCTGCAATTATAAGTGGTGATGACCTCTGACCTCCATTCCCACCCATCCCATTCCAATCCAGAGAAAATCAGAACATCCTCCCTTAGCAGAGACTTCAAATAATTACCACATTCACAATAGAATTTAACAGCTTTTCATTTTTCATTCTTCACTGGTTAAGAGGAGAAAACTCTTCAGTATTTCTCTCCAGTAATTTGCTGAGCAGAAACTAGGTAGATGGTACTGAATTTTAAATTTTTTTTAAAACAATAAAAATAGCAGGGAATGAACAGACTTTTCAACAAATGGCGCTAGGACAATTGTATGTTCACATGGGGGAAATTCAAAATTCAACCCCTCTTCACACTGTATACAATTTTTATTTCTAAAATCCACTTACAAATGTAACGTAGATAGAAATATACCCATATACATAAATAGTATGTGTGCCGCAGTTCCATAGGACATGTTTAACCTTTGTAGCTTAATTATTTCAATACGTGAGAACACAGCTAATATACCAAGTCAAGGCTCAGGGGTGAAGTCTGAGCTAACAATACAGATCTCCTAAGGCTACTAGCCAGGGACTGCTCTCAGATGCCAGTGAGTTTGCTACACCAATAAAAATGCTTTTTTTGGTACCCAAATTCAAGGTGTGGGTGTTTATGTTAATAATGATAAATGAATAACCTTAGGATAATCGAGTAAAATGTAAAGCACTGATACATCACCTTGTCCTGAATTAGTTCGTCCCTGTTGAAATGGGTCTGGAGCTCTGGCTTCACCCATGGGAGGGCCAAGATCCGTCCCAGCCACCATCGCCTGCAATGAGTTTGGACTTGGCCTGCTTTTCCTGAAGCTTTTATCTTTTCTGCAAAGTGACAAGGATAACAGATTGAGAAAGCCAAGCCTCTGACACATCTTCAGAACATAGTCCCTAATTTGCTTTAAATATAGAGTAGGGGAAATACATGTATTTTGTGAATAAACATTTCCTTTATGGACTGATAGAAAAGCGACTTACTAATAACCACCTTGAAATATTCTTATGATGACGATGTGTGCCTGAAACCTGCATGTTATAAACCAAAATTACTTCATAAAAATGTTTTGAAAAGGCATCTATTATCCAAAAGTTTCCCAGATTGCAGAGTCCTTGCAGAAATTCAGGGGCTCAAAGTCTATTATAAAATACTTTGTTAAATTCACCTGTTACTGGAAAGATTTTTGTTTAGTGCTTTGCTTTTTAAATCATTCAGCATGAGTGAATTGAGGTTGTAACCCTGAACTATTTCCTTGAAGAACTTTTCAACATTATCACTATGGAATTAATTTCTCAGTCCAAAAGACAGGCAGAATATTTTGGGGTGAATGGAATTGATGAACTTTCAGATTGCTTTTCTTAAGGTCAGACCTTTATTGAATAATTATACAACTTCACACTCATTGGCTTTCGAACAATGATTGATATTATGATATCTTCCAAAAGCTTTTAGCCAAGAACAAGGAGTCTATTCAAATATCATGGTAGGGCCTCCCTGGTGGTGCAGTGGGTTGAGTGCAGCTCTGTAAAGCTGTCCGCAGCCTCTGCAGCGCAGGTTCAATTCCCGGCCCGCCAGGGAAATGCCCGCATATCATGGCAGACCTCTCCTGCCTCACCTGCCGCTCCCCTCAGCAGTGTCTTCGGTCCGTCTGCCTGTTCTGCTCCCCACTCTGTCTCTGGTGAATTCTCTCACCTTCCTGTGCCTCTGACCTGTACCCCAGTTCCTGTATAAATAAATAAATCTTAAAAAAAAACAAATATTATGCTAAAAATATATTAAAGTTTCTTTGAATCTTGGAAATGACCATACTCTTTTAAATATTTGGAGACCTCTGAATTTTGGTCATTTCAATATTCTTCTAAATATCAAGTCTTGATAAGCTACTGTAATGTAACTGCCATGTATAAAAAGATAAACATCTTGCTTCATAGTTTTTCTTTCATTTTGTTTTATAATGTAAATATTTTTTAAAAAGATTTATTTATTTATTTTATACAAGCACTGGGTACAGTCAGAAGCATGGGAGGGTGCGAGAATTCACCAGAGCCAGAGCGGGAACAGAACAGACAGAATAATGAAATACACTGCTGAGGGGAGCAGGGGGCGGCAGGAGAGTTTTGTGCGCCATGTGGGACCCTCCCCTGGCAGCCGGGGATCAAAATAGCGCTGCAGAGGCTGTGGACAGCTTCGCAGCCCAGGGCTCAACTGCTGAGCCACCAGGGGAGGCCCTATAATGTAAATATTTATAGAAAGATTAAGGATTATTAAATTTCATGTTTTGTAGTCAAATACTAAAATTCTCAAACTTACACAAATAATTAAATTTATGAAAATATATGCTCCTTGATAATTTATTAGTTATTGCAAGAATATGATCTATATATCACAAATCCTTAATAACAATTAACAGCCGCTCCTATATTCATCGGTTCATAACACATATTTTCCACATGTTTTCATTTGTGAAGTAGAAGGTGTTTCATAGCTCAACAGCAGTGCATTTTCCCTTTCTTTCGTGTTAGCCATGGTCTGTCCACTCAGTATTCCCCTGACAGTGGGACAGGACCTCACACACACAGTGCAAGATGAGAAACGTCAGTTCCATCTCTCAGCCTGGGAGGGAATATAGAAAATATTAAAAGCCAATAACAATGAAACTGTGTTTGTATTTTGATAGAAGAAATGCTGTCTCTGCGGCACTCATCAGGGTTTTTAGCTCCCAGATCAAATGCCCAAGTTTATACACATTTCTTGCATCTCATGGGATCATGATCAACTCTAATTAGTATTATAAAAACTTGTGTTTAGTTGATCCATTACTAAGAAGTATCTTACCAGGCTTTGGCTACTAGATAGAGTGGAAATTTAAGATCTTAACTTTTTTTTTTTGGTTCTACCAAACACCAATTCTGCAGTCAGAGTGTTAGGGGGAAAAGGATGTCCTAAAGCTAATTCCATACAGGCTTTGTGGACTCCACCCCCACCCCAGGTCAAAGCCAAAGACACTGGGAACTCCAAATCCCATCACCACCAAAGGGAAGGTGGCTGAGACCTGAGGGTGGGGTTAAGCAGCCAGGTGGATATAAAAAGGCAGACATGCGGGCTTTGGGGGATCCCCATTTTGGCTCTCTGCCAGTTCTGAGAGTGACTTTGGGTTTCCAGGTCGGCGGATCGGGTAGGACGCATTAAAGACTTTATTTCCCTATTTTCTCCCTTATTTCCTTTTCTCTTGTAAATAAACCTTTTATTAACCTGTTGTGTGTGTCTGTAGTAGAGTATTCATAAGTCCCTTTAAAGCGCGAAGGTGAGGACCCACAGCCAGGAACCCGTTTAATATCGGGGCTGCTCTATAACAAGAGGTCTTTAAATTTTGGAAGAACTCACTAAGCTAATTATACTCTTTGAAAGAATGGGTAAGCTAATTATACTCTGTTACTCTTGAAAGCAAAACTGTTGCGAGCCAGCCGCAGCAGTCTGGGTGTCAGGGGTTCCTGAAGGATGGGAAGGCGTCAGCACAATTGTAGAGATAAAGGTAAGGGAAGGGGAAGGGGAATGAGGAGACCAGACACTTGATCAAGGTGCTGACATCATCCTGCTGAGGGTCTCAGCAGCCCTTTATTTATACATTTCAAGCAAACCGTGAGTGCATAAGCATATGTATTAAAGGAAGATAACAATCATCACATCATTTTCAAGAACAGTCAAGTGTCTATTTGCCCACCTGCAGAGATCATGACCTTTATTATTTTTTGATTTAAAGAAGGCACAGTTGCTCAACAGAAGTGTTCTTAGAGTAGTCATTTACCTTAAACAACCAAACAGTCATTTTATTACTAGCAAAAAGCTTACTTTACTACTGCAACTAACATTTTTATGTTTGCCATAGTGAAGGATTAACAAGGGCTAGGGGAAGCAAAGGGCAGGAAGTTACCTGGGGGAAGGGAGACAAAGGGATTTTTTCTAACTAACCTACAAAGTTTAGACTAACATATAGCCAAATGATTAAAGCAAAAAACAGAAGGCTTTTATTTAGAAATTATTGTCTATATTGTTTTAGCTCGACCAGTCATAAAATTGCTGTTGACTTATTCTTGAATGCACACTCTAACAGCTACCATACCAATTGTCACCTCCAGGGGAATCAGCCCTAAACAAACAGGAAGAATTTAGCAGGAGTCAGCTATGGTGCCTCCTGGCTCATCAGGAATTTTCTTACACTTGGAGCATGGATCACGTCTGCCACCCAACTGCTATCTTTAAAGTAATAGAATTTCCTTCTCCAATTAGCCCTTGCCTCAAAAGACCACATCTCCATATTAAAGACTTGGCCAAGGGATGTTTATAGCCTTTAGTTCCCAGAAGTTTTTTCACTTGTTAATGTAAGGCCAAATGTTGAATTACTGCCTTTTTGGCAGAGGACTATTAATTTTATGAAAAATGTAATATTTGTATCATGCAGTGTCATTTGTCATCAAATTGGTTATTCAGTGATTGATCAGTATTTGCAGTTTTACTTTTAAATGCGTATTTTAGCAATGGTAGAAACTAGCCATAAACAAATGAGGAGAATCTTGGAGTCAGCTAATGAGATTCCTGATTTTTCAGAAATCTGCCCCATGCCCAGACTTTTGTCAGACGACAAGAGTAGCATGGCTCCCCATACAAAACTATAATCATTAATTCTCATTTATAAAGAGAAAGAATATAATTCTAAGACCCAGAACTGTCAGTGGAATGAAATTCATCAGCCATGAAATACGCTCAGCAGAGGTTCTTGTGACCATCTGCCAAATTTGCACAAAGAGAATGTTCTCACAAAGCCTGGGGCTGGAGGGGCCCAAACTTGGTCTCTCTTAATTAGAAGTCATTTTCAACCCCACGAGATTCTTATTATTTCTGTACTCTGCATCAGACAGATGCAGAGTTCTGAGTGCAAAGGTATGCAATCCATGTTCTCAGATGTCTATGTCCGGAAGGATTTTTATTGGGCCATTGGCGAGCAAGCCAACGCTGACTGAGGTTGTGGCTGGGGGTTCAGCTTCCAGGAAACACAAGCAGCAGGTCTGCAGAACACACCTGCCAGCGTGGACAGAACCAGCTCCTGCTCTCACTTCCTTCCTTAGCAGGAATATGCCGGAAACCACAAGCACCCCCTAAAATTTCTCCTGGCCAATCCTCCCCAGTTCTGTCCAAACTATTGATTTGATGCCACCATCTCAGTATTTCCGTTAAGCATGTCCTTAACTACAGTCCTCTAAACACACATGATAGTGACACTGTTTAGTGTATAAAACATTTTGCTTCCTAAAACTTTTTAAAGCTTGTTCATCGTTAACCTTTTATTCTTTTTTTTTTTCTTTTTTTTTAATAGAGGCATGTTTTATTTATTTATTTGTTTGTTTGTTTGTTTGTTTTTGTTCATACATGCACTGGGTACAGTCAGAAGCGTGGGAGGGCGAGAGAATTCACCAAAGCCAGAGCGGGGAGCAGAGCAGACAGAAGGACCGAAGTACACTGCTGAGGAGAGCAGCGGGTGGCAGGAGAGGTCTGCGCACCATGTGGGACCCTCCTCTGGTGGCCCGGGAGCAGCCGGGGATCGAACCGGCACCGCAGAGGCCGCGGGCAGCTTCGCAACCCAGCGCTCAACCGCTGCGCCACCGGGGAGGCCCCATCGTTAACCTTTTAAAAAAACGATGCAACATCCAAACAGGGGGCTTGAACGCGTCTCCCTGTTGTGTGCATGTGGACACCAGGCGGCCCGAGGCTCTCGCTCAGCACGCAGTGGGCCAGGAGTCCCCTGGATTGTAAAACAGAGAGAATGAGGAAG